GATTGTCTAAAGAATTTCAATTTTGAAAAAAAATGTTAGAAATTTTTGAAATTTCAATTTCATTTAGAAATTTATTTTAGGTTTTCTTCATTTATTTTACTTTATTTCATGACATGTCAGTAATTAGTAATGAACAATATGTTAAACCGTCATACTCTTTCATTACAAAACATACAGGAGACAAGTTTATCCAAAAAAATAAGATTTCAGTAAGCAGTAGCAGCTGTCCTTAATGATCTTAAAAATAAAATCAGACCATTCAGCTATTTTATGTCATATTATGAGATTGACACTATGTAATATGTCTACTGATATGTCATGAAGTCATGTAAATGTTATAGTAATGGGGAAAAAAACCTATATAATATCCAAAAATTAGATTTTAAAGCTTTCCTCAACACTAACTTTCCAAAATTATTTTTTTTTGGTTTGAATAATTTTCTCTGTGGGAATGTTCACTGAAGTTATAATTTCACAAAAAAAATAGTTGAAACAGTTGTTTCAGACAAACTGTTTTGACTATTTCCTGCTCCCCGCCCTCCTGATCCACTCTAGTTCAAAATAGAATTTGGCATATCACTTGGTTCCGCCTTGGTGGAGCTTCATTGTGTCCATTGGTTCATTTAGGCCTTTTGGGCAGGATGCCTCCTTGATTGGGGGGGGGGGGAACCAAGGGGAGTAAGAGATGCTATCTCTCAGATGTTTATGGCACCCTGTGACGGGGCGGACAGGCCCCGCACTGATGAGCAGGAGATAGCCCAGGCCCAGCTGGCAGAGAAAGCCCCGCCCCTCCGACCCTGCTGGGCATGCTCCCAACAGTGGCCGGGTATAAAGGCAGAAGAAGCCCAGCAGTTGGGGAGGCCCCAGGGTGAAGGAGGAGACCAGGCTGGGCCAGTGTTCTTGCAGCTGCTGGGACCAGAGTTGCCGCCCGCGCCTGACCCTGACACGGAGGACACCCCAGGAGACCGGAACGTACTCACAACCCCAGCAGGTCCTGCCTCAGAGGCCAATGGGCCCCCGGGGAACCGGGGCATGGTAGGAAGCAGCCCAGGGCAGGGGAAGCAAAGTTTGTATCGGCTGGATCCCCCGCCGAGCCGGCAGGAGTCATAGACCCTGCCTAAAGGGCCCTGGGCTGGGACCCGGTGGAGAGGGAGGACCCGGGTCCCCCTACCACCCATTTTTCCTTCCCTGGACAAGCAAACCCTGGACCAGGGGAGGCTTCTCAGAGCGGCTAGGCCTCTAGTACCGTATATGCCCTGATAGAAGGGCCTGGACTTTTGCATTGGGACTTTGGTACCGTATATGCCCTAATAGAAGGGCCCGGACTTTTACGTGGGGACTGTGGGGGGTACTGCGTAGACCCAGTAAGAGGGGGCTGACACCCTGGACAGGGGCGTAGCCCTTGACTCACCCCAGAGAGATGTCACTCGAGTAAATAGTGTAGACTTGTGATTTTCCTTTCTCTCGCTTTACCTCTGAATTGACCCCTCTGTGAAATGAATAGGGCAGTTCACACCAACTCATGTATGCATTGGTTAAAAAAGGTTCACATCTGGAAGTTTTCTTTGCAGCCATAACACTGAAATACTTATCTACTATATAGTTAAAAGCGTTTTTCTGTCTGTGCGTGTGTCTGTCTGTTCAAGAATTCCTCCTAAATGGTAAGAGCTAGAACCACCAAATTTGGTGTGCTGCTTCCTATAATCCAGGCATGTCCAAAGACCGGCCCGAGGGCCAATTGCGGCCCCCCAGGTAATTTGGCAATATCTATCTTTTATGGCCCCCAACGAATCCATATGTATTGAGATGAATACATTGTAAAATCTCAGTTAATGTCAGTTGGTCTAAATCAGTTATAAATATATTTGGACACAACATGTATACTTGGTGTTATGTTCCTGTTCATATTTTTTGAACTTAAAAGTTGACAGACAACCTTTATTACCAATAATATGTAATGTACTTTACAATGTTCCTGACATATATTTCAGCTTCCTGGATTTTTTTTTTCATCTGGCCTTCAGATATGAAAGGCAGAGTGATTTAACACCTGTTTAGATTTGTCATCCATGTGACGAAATGAAAAGTATGCCGTTTGCAATAAACTTTGCATAAAATAGTTAATTTGCATTTAATTTTAATGGTTCAAAGAATGTCAGGCAAAATGGTCGGCCCTCACGCATGTTCACTTCATCAAATCTGGCCCTCTTTGAAAAAAGTTTGGACACCCCTGCTATAATCATAACTTAAAGCAAGGTAAGAGCTTGATTGTGCCAGGAAAATGGGATGTATGTGGAATGGGATTGCTTCTCAGAAAATCATACAGAAAAGAGACAGGATCACTAGGCAGGTGAAAAGGGCTGGCTGGGGGTTTGACTCCTCCCCCCCATCTGAGCCTGCCCCAACACCGAGCCTCTCACCTTCAAACTCCCTTTAGGAAAGGGGGGGCTGTAGCTACCCTCGCGTTTCTATAGAGACATTGCTGGCTGTCCTCTTTTATCAGGGTGTGAGGGAAAGTGCACAGTTTGCTGCATTTCTCACTCTGGCTGGGGAGCACAGGGGGCAAATGAACCTGGACCTTCCCCAGCTGGGTGACATGCACCTTTCCCCTGGCTGTACCTACTGTAGCTGCAGCAGCCATAGAGAGGCACTTCTTACCTGGCCTGAAGCTGCTGCAGTGGGAGAGGGCTGCGGTAGAGCAATGATTCAAATGAAGTATATACTTTTTTATTTTCTAAAATACAAACATTAGTTGAATTAAGGACCCAGGCAATGCCAGGTACGTTTTCTGGTGTTGAAGGTAAAAGCTGTGATTCTGGAGAATAAATAATTTCAGAGAAGTAGTGATCGGGCATAAGGGGTTGAACTGGCTGTTTCCAAGCCCTGTTTTTGAGTTCCCTCTGTGCTGTGCAGTGGAGGAGAGTACGGGGCTCTTGTATGACTAAATCTGTCAAGTATTTGTGCTATACTTCTTGGAAGGTTGGTATGCCAAGCAGTTATTCATCTGGTCCTTTCTCTGGTTGCTGAATTGCACGTGCATTTTAAAAATTAATTTAGAAGAACATCTTTCATTTTTTCTAGCTAATAAATACAATGCAATGAAGCAGTCCTAAAACTATCAAGCAGAACCATCAATCTTTGGATCTAAAACCAGACAAGTCTAACATATTCAATAAACTGAACATAATGCTGATCTCATGCATGCTGGGGTAAATCAGGAGTAAATCCGCTAGTGAACGATGTTATATTGGTGCAAATGAGATTTTAATCAGCCATGCTGTTTTCAAGAGAGCATTAGTTAGTGAAAAACAGAGAGGTTTTGTCTAGAGGAAGGTTTTGAGACCGAAGTGTCTTTGGGGATCAAAAAAAATCTTTCTTAAACATTTTCCATAGATGCAAACAGCAGCAGGGTTTCTTGCATCTTCCTCTGAAGTATCATGAAACTGAACTGAGTAGCCCACTGATCTGATGCAGTGTGGTGACTGCTACATCAAATATGAAGATATTCTAAAATGTACCCTGTATGACCATTTTGTATAGAATGTAAATGGTTAAAATTCTAATGAGGGCAATGGAGCTCTGACAATTTACACTGGCAGCGAATTTGGCCCTTTCAGTTTATCATCCTCTTTGCATTGCTGTCACCAAAATATTGACTGGTGATTTTCCGATTGGTATTCCATGGCCTTTTTTAAAATTATGAACTTTATAAATAATTGATATAGTCTTACTAAAAATGACTTTTCTAATAGTTGAGAAATTGAAACCGTTTTTGCAGTTCTATGGGGCCTTGCATCAGAGGACTTACAAAAGCTTTACAAATAATTATTATATCTCCACACCTTTGTGGAATTGCTACTATCTATATGATGAATGCTAGCTGTAGGATGGTCGTTTTCATGTGGAAAAACTGAGGTCCATAAGTTTTGCTCAAGGCTTTAAAGGCTGAGATGTTTAAAATGGGGGCCAGAACTGGGTTCTTATCCATATTTCAACACACAAATAAATGACTTGTTTTTTTTTAATGCTATGTACCCAGCAGATCTCATTCTTTGAGATGGTTGTCTATGTGGGTGCAGCAGCGGACAGGGTGGAGCACTCACAGGGGCAACCATCTCAAAGAACCTTTGTTACTGCACAAGGTGAAGAACCCTCTCTTCATCTCAGTAGGAGCTTCATGGTCCTTAGCACATTTGAAAATCAAGTTGCTTAATTAGGCCTTCAGCGAATGATTTTGGGCACTCATTTAAAAAAAAAAAAAAAAAAAACCTTGGCCAGAAAGAAGTAGAACTGTTCCTACCTGGTCTGACAAGCCAATTTCTCCCCTTCACAGTACTGTGGAACCCTCACTCCTTTCACAGTGCAGACAGCTAAGCTGCATAGATTCAAAATACTGCCCTTATTTTTGAGGGAACATGTGTCTGATTTACTGACTTGCAGGTAACAGAACTTGCTGACTCTCCTATCTCTAGATAAGCGAAGGTGGTTTGCTGCTCTGCCAGGCTTTCCCAAGTCGCTCCAGTGTCCCACCCACTAACAGTGTGTCCCTTTCAGGAAGAGGAGGAGACTACCAGGAACAGAAACACAAAGGCACGTTTTAACACAGTAACAAAAGGAGAAAAGCCGCTCAAGTATTTTTCCCCAGAGGTAGGACAAATCGATCATCTCTAGTGAACAGAATTCATTGCTACTTAAATGGGACTGCCATCTTTAGGCACAGAAATAAGTGGCCTGCTTTTCAGAAAGCTTCTAGTGCCTTAAAAGCCCCCTCTTCTGTATTCTAAAGAACCGGACGCTGCTTTCAGGTGAATGTGTTTAGCTCCTGCTCCAGGAAACCAAACCTCTTCTTACCACCCCGGAAGGCGTGAAGGAAAGGCTGGTGCCACTCCCAGTCAGCAAAGCAATGGGAAAAGCACAGCGCAGGTCTATCCCGGAAGAGGGGCGCTACCCCCTTCGAATCATGACCCGGTTCAACGCCCACTACCCACCAAGGCACTTACCTGCTCCCAAGCACAGTCCGAGGAGAGCTGCGGTTCCTTTTTCTACTCGGAATCCCACTAGACAGCACCTCTGGGCGGGCACCCGTCATAGTGGCAGCCACGAAGCATGTTGACTGTTGCTCTCTTGCCTGGGCAGAGCCATCTGTCCGGCGGAGAGGGCGATGTTTGCATGTGCCTCTTCCCTCGGCTGGAGAAAGGGATGACGTTTTGCAGGGCTGGCTGCTGGCACCCTCTTCTTTCCAAGCACCGGAAAACGTCACGTGGGAAATGGATCATGTGGCTTTTTTTTGTCGGGCCTCCAGGATCTAACAGCCTCGATTCCCCTCCCTCCCGGCCCCTTCCTCCTCGCCCTTAAAGCTTCCAGGCAGCAGGACAGGTGCTGCTCGGCTGGAGAAAGGGATGACGTTTTGCAGGGCTGGCTGCTGGCACCCTCTTCTTTCCAAGCACCGGAAAACGTCACGTGGGAAATGGATCATGTGGCTTTTTTTTGTCGGGCCTCCAGGATCTAACAGCCTCGATTCCCCTCCCTCCCGGCCCCTTCCTCCTCGCCCTTAAAGCTTCCAGGCAGCAGGACAGGTGCTGCCTCC